TCAGCTGTCCACACCATAGTTGAGGGGAAACTGGTAGTGTTGTGACAGTCACAAGTACCCAGAATATTGCATTTAGGCTAGAGGGGCAATGCCCCAGATGGAACTGAGCTCAATAATCTCAAAGGAAAGCAGTAATCCCTTCATCATCAGAGACTTACAAATCTATGCAATAATTACCCCGTTTTATCCGTATTTTCGGGAAATGGGGATTTTTTCAGGAAGAAAACCTATTCGGAGCCTAAATCCCACTGACTACTCGGATCTCTCTCCAGCTGTGAAGCCACAGGAGCCTTACAAATTGAAACTGTTAAAGGTACCACCCCCCCCCACTGATATGAGGGATATGGGCGGAGTCAGGCCTGCCACGCTTTCCTCATTGGCGTGCCGCGCTTTTCGACCATACAAAAAGGATGGGTCGTGCTGTATGCATAGGGGTGGGGTGTCAATGACCACTGCTGCAGGCGGCCAATTAGATAGAAGACGAACAGCATGATCAAAACTTGTGACTGTAAACCTGTAGATGCCCAAAAGGCGAAGAGTTTTGGTGAAATCCCCCTGCACCTATGCGCCATGCATTCGACCTGTATTTTAAAAGTTTGCCCATAAGGGAATTCGAGGTGTTCAAAGCAGCGCTCCTTTCCGAGTGCTAAGCGACTTGAGGAAGTCAAGTAAACTGAGGCCTGATTGTTGTGACCGGAATTAGATTCCGAATTTGATTCCAGGATTGGAAGAGCGGTAGGCTGCGCTTCATTTGTTTCACTACTCCATCTACGCGTAATGTAAAGTTAGAGATCCAAAAGATATCGAAAATCCCTCAAAAATTTTCACATACCTTGGCGGTTTTCATGGTCGAACCGCCAACCCGTTTCCGAGGCATCACGTAGTCAGAGTTCTGAAATGAAAACACTTGTAGTAAAAGGGATCATGAATAGGTACTGAGACAAAAAGCTAAAGAGAAAGTAAGAAATAGGAAGTCATAGCAATGAGGTCTAGGTTTCCTAAACTCGTTCCTTCAAAAGACTGGAAACGAGCCCCTTCCGCGGGCCCACGAGGGTTCAGAGGGACCCTCACTGTACGGAATGCAGTTATTACAAAAAGACCGGACTGGAGTCACCCAAAGACCAGGAAACCATTTCACTTAAACCTCTTGAGCTTGAGGTCCGTATATTCTAGTGTTATTGCTCAAAGGAAAGGTTTATGCAGTATATGCATTTTTGGGTGACCCAAGACTCAGAGAGTGCACTTCACAAGAGCCTCACCGTTGTAGGAGCTCTCTAGGAGGTTCCCATGGGTAGGGGTGAGCAGTGTCCAGCGTTTGACAGTACCACCTGGCAACTTTTGGTCCACTTCGATCAGCAGCACCCGGTCTACTTCTATAGGGCGTAGGTGTCGTAAAACAGAGAGTGGTCATCATATGCTGGAAGGTTTTTTGGTGTTGTTTAGTTCGGGAAGGTGAGGAAGTTTAGTTCCTTTCGTTAGTTCACATTCGCTAGCAGCTCTTCCTCTGTGGAGATCTGGAAACTCTTGGACCTTCACAAGGTGGCCTGTACAAGCTTTGCTGAGTACCAGTTGGTTCCCCCCCCCCCCAATCCGAATTGCGCCCTTATTTTTCCTTTCCCGCGAACTCCTTCCCACAAAGCCTGATGCGTAACACTAGAGCACATTGCAGAACACGCTTTTAGGGAAGAAAATGCAAGAGGAAAAAAGAAAGCAAGAGGCAGTTCGGCTTGATAGGGGCACCAAGTTCCTCAGCAAAAGTTCAGTGAGCCCACAAGACTTCACAGGCTTGCTCACCACTCTAGGTTTCGACTCCGATGACGTGGTACTGGCAGCCGTCTGTAGCGCCGCAATATGTTGCGATTGTAGAGCAGCCACTTGTGACTGTAGAAGTGACTGGAAAAAAGAAAAAAGGTCTGGTAAAAATTGGAGTAAATTGAATTTAGAGTCAAAAAGTCTTCAAAATTACTTGACGATATCTGAAAAGTCAACTGGGAGTACCTGAAAATGTGGTGACTGCAACTGCGACGCAAATGCGGCAAACGCCGACGGAAACGAGGAGAACGAGCCCGGCTGCGGCAGTTGCAGCATCTCGAGCCTGAATATCAGGAATGCAGGGATACTGTAGCCTAGTACACTAGCAGGCATACTGGCTGATTATTTACAAACGAGCATGATATGAATTATGATCTGAGAAAAAAATGAGTAAGATGAGATTTCTATAGTCTATTCCGAAGGTAGTAAAAAATTATTCAACTCAGCCACAAGGAGTGATTTAGGCCTGGGAGGGGTGGAACAGCTTTCAAGACCTTCCAGACATCTTGTGGAAGTCGGCATTCCCGCAGTACCAGGGGCATTTACCAAGTCGAAACAAGGAGGTGAGGGACCCAATTTGAAGCCAATGGCGGTACTGCTGTTCCTATGTCGTTATCCTCACTTTTGCCCGAGAGGTTCCAATCCCCTCCTTACTTACGCAGTGATTTTTGATCAAAACGCAGTTTTCCAAAGAGGGTTGAGGTTGCCCTCCAAGGTACTTCTCTAATGAAAGAGAGAGAGCAGTTTGAAGGTGACACAGGAATTCAGCAGTAATGGGGGTTAGCAGTGTAACCTCATCAGCCGAGGGAAACCTACAGAGACGGTCAAGAGGTTCTGCTCAGACCACTACGGCATGAAGAAATTCAACGTCATCGGCGAAACAGTCTTGTGTCCCAAATGTGAGGCGTTCGCGGCGGGACCAATCGTACTTCCGTCCAAAGTGAATCGTGCAAAGAACAATGCAATGAGCCGCCTTGCGAATTAGAGCGAATCACTGTGGTCCATAAGTCATGTGGGCCAGTCAGGCAACAGCCGTCTCGTCCTACATGGTCTCAAAAGGGTTTGTTTACTCCAAACGGCGTACGGTAAGCGAACGAATTAGCATATTGGGTGGACAATAACGCGATCTTTGGTGGTCCTGGGATCACCAAAAGGAGGATGAAGGGACTGCCGGAAGGAAGAAAAGAAGCTATTCGTTCTTGTTGATGCATGACCGCTTCCCGAACGAAATGGACGTGATGGTTACATAGCCTAGATTTGAGGCGGTCACCTCGCTCGAACACATCGGTCAACATACCAAAACGAGGTTCAAATTGTCTGCATACCACTTGAGGGAAGGGTCGATTCCGGTAATTGTACGAGTCAAGAGTAGCGTGAAATCGAGGCGAGACAGCTGAGAAAGTCAACCGGATCAAAGATTGGCGTTGAGAAGGAAATAAGGATGCTATAGAAAAACGGATATAAACGAGAGCTACAGTAATAAACTTTTCAATAACGCCATTTGTCAGCTTCACGTCTGGAGTCAGAACTATCTTTGCAGCGACAAGGAGGGCTCTGTACTTGTTGCGGCTGCTTACGATGGGCTTATATCGTAGTCAGGGGGTCTGCCAGAGAGGCCGATAGAGTCATTGGAGCCGAGATCGCACACCCTGATCATACTACAGGTATAGTTTTAAATGAGGAAAACCTAGGAAAGGCAGACCCTAACCGCTGTTGTTATAAAGCCAAAAAACCGAATTGAGGCTGCCTCCTAATGCAAGACACTGTGACGCAGGAACAGCATTCATTCCGTAGAACCGATTCAGAACAAACGATGCTATGGCATAATCCCAACGATGTATCCACAAATAGATATTTTGACGCCCTCTCACTTCTCCCGCATTCCAAAACGTCACGTTTCTAACGGGTTGCAGTCTCGATCCATTTTGACCCGCGTCAAAAACCTCCCGACGCATCTGATCGCGGGCAGGTCCCTCCAGAACGGATCTTGAAAAGGATTAGAGTCAGGATGAGTGGTGAGCGAGTCAAGAGTGCGATGAGGATTGAACAGTGGCGCGGAACGGATTAAGGCCCCAGCGTCACAAATCCGGGACGAAAATTCTTGAGAAAGCGGATGAGATGTGCGCTAAAGAGGCACTAATAGATATTGTCATATCAAATGTTCAAATCAAGAAATACTGCGTAAATATTAAAATTAACTGGATGATCGAAGAGCTCATCAGCTTATAATTCCTGAAAGAAAGAGTGTTGACTATGAAAGGAAAAGTCGAGGCGGATGAGGAAGTCAGAAAAAAGAGCTGCCGGGAAATCATAATGGCTAATGTAATGCCAAAGAAACAGCGAGAATATCATCCGACAAGCCTCCGACAAAGTCCCATTGGGACGGGGGTTATATGATGGCATCGGTGGATTGCCGACCGACGACGACGACAGGACTACTGTCGTCGTATTACGCTATTGTGTTGGTCAATCGTGTGTGGGAGGAGCCGGCAACAGGCGACATCAAGGTGGGATGGCCGGAGGAGGCGGGGTTTGGCGCGGTGAGCTGAGCGCGCCATCCATAGAACTATGGGCCGAAGCGAGGCGAAACGAGTTCGAGATGAACGCCTGAAAGCCGTCGTCCGTCGGCAGATGTCGCAGCGGGCAGCCGACCAGTTGCTTGTAACAAGAAGCACACGAGGCCTCAGCCGCCGCGGACCGTGGCCACAAACATCGTCCAAGCTCGGGGGGCTTGACGCGTCGGGGGTGAAGCGAAACGGGTTTGCCGCCGAGTGGGTCAGCATCTATGCGAAGAAGCTGATGACGACTAGTGGATAAGCAACAACGTAACATGGTATAAGTCCTATAGGAACACGAGTATTAGAGAGTTGAGTGGGACCAGGGCTCAGTAAAGGACATTTAAAGGACGTCCTTTGGCCCAGACTGACCCAGATCATTGTCCTTAACTAACATGGCCCACGTCCAATCGAGGTAACTCTCATTTATGGTCTGAGTTTAGTGGATGTGATCCAAGGCAGTGACCTGCCTGCAGCACTTCGCCCTCAGGACTTTATAGAGCAGCTCTCTGAACCCTCTAAAAGAGATCCACCTCCAAGAAAGAAATGATAACCTAAAAGACTAGCGTTCCTCAATCTCCCCTTCCTACGTAATACTCCCGAAATTTGTTGACGTTCGCAGTAACTCCCGTCGCCGATGAACGAACCCACGCGTTACAAGACCTTGAACATTTTTTTCCCAGTCTGACGTGGTTGTTCTTCTTCTTCGGACGAGACTAGGCACAAGAGTTTTATGACTAGCCCGGGAAAAGTGTGAAGGTTAGACGTTAAAAGCGATAAGAGAAACTGTAGGAGAGAACGGAAAACGCTAAGTAATTTTAAATTTCTCTCAGGACCATTACACTGCCCTTTACCCGAGTACAGGCTCATCTTCACGATAGCGCTTCTGTGAGTGATAACCCCCTATAAGACATCCTGGAAAGGTTCCACATAAGATGTATGGCTTCCTTTTCTTGCTATAGCCGAATGTGGTCATTGCTTTGCCGACCTTGCCCACAGGAACCGTCCAAGATTTCTTTGCTGACCGGATTCAGCTTCTTTTACTCCCAACAAGTTGCCCGTCAGCAGCTTTTTCTTAAATATTCGTTATGAATTTAATCTGGCACCTAGCAAGAACCACTTCGGCTTCCTTCCTGATTTCTTCAAGGTCGAGCAACAATCGCTTGGCACTGGTTTCCGCTGCAAACCACCCCTCTGGTCATCCAGATATCATCGCCATCAACGTGGCTCGTAGTTTGTCTCTGTGACCAGACAAGCTAAAAGAAACACCGATGGCGAGCGGCCGTGCGCATAGAGGACGAGGTGGACCAGGGGGAAGCGCGGGCGGGGAGTGGGCAGGTTAGAGAACTGGATATGGGCCGACGGGCGACGCATGTATCTCGCACGCAAAAGCATTGCGCAACTAGGCACCACTCGTCACCGAAGTGACCATGAGAAGAGAAGCGCACCGGCGGCGATCTGGTTGAAGCAGCTTCAAATTGAGGGACTAGCGAGCGCGAGACAAGAGGGACTTACTCGTGAGATATGGGTCTTGGAACCCGAAAGTTCCTAAAAAGATCTCTTCGCTTGGACTTGGGAACCTTTCAAGGTCTTTGGTTTCATGGGAATTGCCTGTCATGAGGACTGCCACCCTTCCAGATGGAGATGGGGTTCTGGTCATCGGCGCCGTCCATCAAGTGCTCAGTCCGGTTGTCCCATACCTGATCGGCTTCCGCACAGGTGAACCAAGCCTTCTTCATCCCCGAGTCCATTAATTTGGCACCCCTCTAAAAGTCTTTGTATCGGTTAGGTTGCATTCTAATATCACTGTGATTCCCATTGGAAGTGGTATGCAATTCCGTCCTCAAAAGAGAT